TTCGTATATACAGCACGGACGTCCGTAGAGCACGTTTAGTTGCATCCAGGCGTTATTAACAACGCGCAGCGGCAACACGCAACGAAGTTTTCCTCAATTATTGCTACCTATGATACGGGATGTGAATAATTCTGTGCCTCTACGATTTATTTGAACCAATTATGTTTTATTAAAAAGGTCTACTCACAGTATTTAGCACTGGCTAACCTATATTGTTAATTACAGTTAGGTAGGTTGTCTAGAACCTGAAAAATCCGAAATTACTAGGATTCCCTAGGCAACCAAAAACATCCGCAAAAGCCCTGGAATTTGCGTCGGAGACTGAATTTTTTTCTGTTTTTGCCCAGAGGTTTCATTATTTAACCTTTGTTGGTCTTTTTTTTCACTGGGAAAAAAAAAACACATTGGATCTAGAGTCCAGACTCTTGAAAACATGACATGAAAAAATACTCTTGATTCAATCGGATTTTTGCTTGAATCAAAACAAAATCCGCCTAAACTAAGAGACTTGGTTCTTGATTTAAGCTAGATTCTGATTGTATCAAGAGTACTTACTTTTTCTTGTCGATGTTTTTAAGATTCTAGACTCTAGATCCAATGATTTTTTTTCCAGTGTTCCTGAACTCTGGGGGAAGATCTCAAGATAAATCAGAAAAAAGATACAAAATTGCAGGTTTTTATCAGGAAACTGGAACTCCCTCTATTCATTGACCGGCGGGCTGATTATTGAAATTGATAGGCAAAGCTATAGACAACTAGGAAGAAGGACAAATTAAGCTATTATAATAGTTGAGGGGGGGGAGGATGATGGACTAACTACAGGGTCTCTGGTTAATCGCCGTTAAATAGCTTATTACTTACACCCTATGTCCATCGTAACCATCCGCTTCCAACAATAGGATCGCTCTATATTCTCTTCTTCTTCCTCGTGTGTCGGTTTGTCTATCAATTGCACCAATCAGCCCACTGCTATCACTAATAAGGCGGCTGATTGGAGAGGGCGGGGAAGAGGCGATAGCCACCCCTCTTCCCTCCACCCTATCCGAAGATACCGGTCTCTCCGTTGAAATGGCAGCGGTTTAAACACGTGGTTTCCTCATCCGCGCATCGCAACTTGTGACGCTCTCGAGGCATTGTTACTCGTGTAAACTATTAATCTGTAGTGGGGACCCGGGAGAAGACACAAAGCTTTGAGGACGCTATTAATTAAAAACGTGTTTTGGCGGGAATCTCACCAGCCGGGGGGACGGGGGGGGGGCGGCTCTGAA